ATATGATTATAGTGCTGATGTGTATGTGAGTATTCTAGCATGGCCTGTCTTGCTACTGCTGTTATGCATTCAGCAGCATGTATACTTGCCCCTAGGTGAGTATTCGCATATCTGGACATTTTCTATGCCTACAAATGGCCTGGAATATGAGCCAATGCATATATGTAGTATTCTATGAATTTATTATTTTTGTTGAGGCCATATACGAGGGTGTGCACCGCCGCCGTCTAAGACAAAGAGCACGACAAGCCTGACGGCGATGATGCTCGATCGGAGTGTCTAAGTGATGCCGCGTACATGTCAATGCAATAGCATGAATTTTCTGTATTTAATGAAATTTATTCCATATTTTTATGACTACATACAAGTGCTATAGCTATGCTCATCGTCGGCGACGACGACGACGGGCCTACCGACGAGGTGCCGGAGAGGCGGGACGCAGCCTCGAAGAAGCGGCGCGCCTGTGTCACCAGACACGTGGCGGTACGCCTAGGGTTGGGGTCTGCTACCAGACTTCTACCCGGACCGCGGCCGGAAGCGGCAAGGGCATGCTGGTCGACAGGGAAGACAGCGAGGACGGGGCGTCGAGCAGAGTAGCGGACGGCCTTATTATACTAGCGTAGGCGGTGACGTGTACTGTATGTAGACCGATGCTCGAGCGTTGAAGTCAAGGGGGACGCGGTGGGGTACCCAGGGGGGGCGTTCAGGTGGGGTGGCAAAATAAGGTTTTCAAGACCCCTTGGTCTCGCGTCTTAGGGCGTAGTCCCAAGTCTAAGGGGTCTCGCTTTTGGTGTCACTCGGGTGCATACACCTGTGCATTGGCCTGCCGGCAATATCCGGTGCTGATCGTGCAAGCAGGCTGTCATCAATCAGCCTTAAGTAAAGATCTTGTGTTGCTCCGAAAATGCGAGAATCAGTGTCAATGGTCTCTACTCTATTATAGGGCCTATATGAAATTATTGTGGAGGGTGGCAGGCCATCCGTAGAGTCAGGGCACAAAAAGATTACATTCAGCCACAAACCACGTGATGCTTATGCCATTTTATGCACGTGCAGCCTCAGGTTCGGCGAACGCGTTCGCGAACGCGTTCGGCGGGCGAACCTCCCAGTCGCCTGGACGTTCTCAGATGTGAAGCCGCCCGCCCCCCTGACCGTCTCTCACACGCATCTCGGTTCTTTGATTCCTGGAATCTGGACCTACGTTGAAGCAACCGCACGTAGCTTCCATGAAGTCAAGGGTAACGAGTCATAGATGCGGGAGTCTTCAAGCTGCTCCTGATGACATGCGATTACATTGTGATCCGTAAGTGAACAGTACGCTAATACAAAATAATACCACAGTGGGGACTAACAGTACATCAAGTTCCGTAGGGATACAGCATAGCAAAAGTTATCCAATCCGTTAATGCTAAAAGGCAGGTGGAAGAAATACATGACCTTAAATAAATAGTTTGAGCGTACCGCGTATCCACAACAAGGACCAGCATGGTTTCGAGAGACCGTGCGCGTTGTCCTACTGTTGCGCACAGGTCCCGTTTCGATTGAAGTGACCCCGGAACATTGTATCATCGGTGAAGACCTCGCGATACCCCGAAGGAAGAATAGATTCCACAACTGGCCCATCAGCGCATTCTTCAGGATCGACGAACGATACTGTCTTGCGTTTCTTATGAGCCCGACCCTCCCCATCCGACGGCAGACGCGATTTCCGCTTAGTACCTGTGTGTCCGATTGGACCAGCCAAGGCAAGACCAGGTTGCTCCGTCCGGACCACAGGTTTCCCGGGAGAATATGCCTCTGCCCGTTTCCTCAACGTCTTGGCACGAAGAAGCATCTGGGGTTCATCCACTTTAGCCCGGTTCCTTCTCAGTCCCGCCGACTTTCCGGCTGCCTCCCTCGAAGGTTCGTACATTTCTTGTCCCCTTCTCACCGCTTCCCTCTTCTCGATGGCTTTCAGCCACGTTTGCCAGAGGATGTCCCTTGGCTCGTTTATTTCCTCCTTTCGCGCCGCGGCCGGGAAATGGCGACCCAGTTTGCTGCTCCTGCGGGTCGCTCTCACTCCAGCCAGGTAACGCTTTATTGCGGCCGGATCAGGTACGCCGGCAGGTGTGCTGGTTCGAGGTCTCTCCAGACCGTTCAGCATGAACGTAGAGAAACCGACATCCCCCGCAATAGACGTCCCAGACAGACCAGGCAGCAGCCTGAACCCCGAAGCACGGGATGTGTCGGCGCCGTACGCCAGGAACCGGTGCCCGGATGACATAACCGCAAACGGGCCAGTGGAGGATGTCTTCTGTTGTTCTTCCCGGTCACATCGTCCTTGAGGACGATCGCGCTGGTAAACAAGGGATAGTGACGACGCACGTGGGTAAGGCAAACGAACCTTATTAGAAGCCAAAGACGTACCAAGATCTCAGCCAGGGATAGCTTGCGACTTGGGCCGCTCACTCCCAGGGTGGGAATGTCCTCAAGTGATGGTGAGGGTGAGCGGTAAGTGTCCTCGGGCCGTTCCTGCTCTCCGTCTGAGGCTGAGACAACGTCAGGGTATATGCAGTGCTCGGCCAGCCGGACACTGACCTGTGTCAAAGTCCCCAACGGCACACGAAGACATATGTTGGTCTTCCAAGACCTCCATTCCACGTTCCATGATTGCCTGTTGGATGTGTGAGCGACGCTGAATTACTTGTCCCGGTATGTTATCCGAGAGAAACTCACGAAAAAGGGATCAGATGATCCAGACGACGTCGCCCAATCTTCATCCGACATTCTGATGATATGGGTCATTTAGCTGAGGCGGCCACATAAGTGTCACAACCTACCCGAAGCTTGCTTCTGAGTCGCACGGAGAGTGTGTCTCTACGTAAGTCTCGCCGTCCATTTCAGTGGTGGTCTGATGGGGTTTTCGATTATACGGGGGATTGAAGGGGAGGCAAACGCCCGACGACTACTCTAGGAGGCCTGATGTGGATAGGTAAGGGAGAGTATGGAAAACAGGGAGAACGCTCGGAGGGGGGAACCAGTGTGCGGTGGGATAAGTGTTATAGAAGGAGCGTAGCGAGGAGACCCTCTCCCCGAAGCACTGGTCTGACTGGCGATTGCAGAAAGGTTGGAAGGAGGGGACTTGCGAGTTGTGGCAAAGCCGTGACTGGTGACATTGATATAGCTATGAGGGGGGACCCACAGAGCCAAACGTTCCACCGAAGCACGAATGACCAAACAATGTCGGTGCCCGGTCCAGTACAGCGTGCTTGGAGTCATTGATACCCATAGGTTGCCACAGCTCGAGTAATGCAGCAGACTACAAGGCGTCGAGAGAGCGAGATCAGTACAGAGCAGCGTGATGAGAGTAAAGCCAGAGGGCTGCCAGCGAAGGGCACGGCCGGTGCGTGGTGCCACCCGGCGTCCAGCGCCGCCTAATCTGGCCTCGCACGGCCCTACCAGTCTGCCTACAACTTGGACGCTAAGTTCACACTGCTGATCCCTAACTTTAACCAGTAGTTTGAGATGCCATCCAATGCTTTTAACGAGTGCGAACGGCTACTACTAATGTCGTGATTACGGGTATGAAAGAGTACCGCGGCCAGAGCAAGATTGTACACCGATATCAATCACATAAGTCAGTCTTGCGTGCTCTTTTCCGACCTCTCTTCTTGTCCTGAACCTTCGGAGGAGACTCGGTCTCGTTGAGAGCTCGGGCGGTGCGCATAAACTCTTCAAAGAACGAGGCGAGAGGTTTCAACGGCTTGAACGTAGACGGCATCGGCACATTGGGGATCTGTGAAGACGGGATAGCAGGCTGCCTCGAAGATAGGAATAACGAGGCACCAGGACCCGCAGCTGCAGGATCCTGCTCGTTTGCAACGGTACAGGAGTTCGCCCGGGGCGCAGACTCGGCCGGACGGGCATTCTCCTGTAAATCATGCTCAGTGTTGTTCGGTTCATGTTGGAGAGGATCGAGCTGATGGTGCAGATTTTCCACAGTCCTGCTAAGAGGAGCAGACATGGTGTCGGATATAGGGCCACTACTTTCTTCGTCCGTGTCGAGAACTTTGATGCCAGTGTCCTCAGATCCGACATCCGAGGTTATAACCACGTCTTTCAAGTCTGCTGGCGGAGAAAACCCTACATGAGCGGATCGAGGCAGGGAGACCGACGATAGCGTTAATTTCCGACGTCCTGCGAGGTGAGTATCCCGCCGGCTGGCAGAGGATCAGCCGCACGTATGTAAATACAGCGTAGCGCATCTTACGACCGGTTGTCTGGATCACTCATCACTGGCAAGAATTGAAGAGGAACACGCGTGCTTGGTCCAGAAGTCCGTACTTGACCATCGTCCTTCGCGTGCGAAGAGTTCCCTGCAGCTCGCTCTTCTGCGCTTTCGATAGTCGGGTGAAAAGACCAATGCGACATAGGCATAGATACCTTCTTCACAGAAGGCGAGTTGCGCTTGTACATAAAGTCAGAACTTCGAAGAGCTGGCGGACGGAAGCAGGCTGACGGGCGAATGTTTTGCCCAATTTTCTGGTTAGGAGGAGCAGACATGCTGTCTAGGTCAGTCGTAAACTTCAGAGGGCGCCGGTGCAAATTATAATCGGCCAGATATTTTGAAGGGAGGTCAACATGAGCCAGAACAGCAGCAGTGAGCATTGATTTAGCCAGGGATTTGACTTGATGGTGAGGAGATTGTTTTCTTTTATTTTTCTTGCGGATAGACGAGCGTCTTCCTTGGACCTTTCCGAGAGAAGTAGAATCCCAAGATGCCCGAGGCCGCTTCGCAAACCGAGTAGCGGAAGAGGAGCTTGCATCCATATTGATCGTCTCATTGGAAGAGTCACACGGTTGACTAGACCGCTGAGTGCCTCTCAATCGTTTGTGGTGCGCATGGTAGCGTCGAACGCGGGCAGTCGTAGTAACCGGCGTGCATATAGCCTGCCCGAGGGGTCGTGTATGTTCGATAACCCTGTGATCACCGAGAATTGAGGCGGGTCCAAACCCCGAAGAACTGGCAGCAGATAAAGATTCCGAAGATTCGTCTAGGCAAGGGGAGCGGTGCATATCATCTTCCTCATTGTCATCCGTTGGCGCCGATTTCAAACCACCATCATGGGAGGGCTGTGCTTCACCGTCTTCAAGAGTCGCAATAGCAGGCAATGGAGACGCGACACAAGAGAAGCCGGGCTCCTGGTCAAAGGCGCTAGAAAGAGAATGGACCTCAGAGTAGATGGCGGCAGGGGATTGCAAAGAGACGCATATATCCGGCAGACCACCCGGCGTTGGCTCGACGTCTGCACGAGTCAAATAAAAGCCCAAGCAAGGATCAACAGAGACCCTTGCAGGGGGCCTTTTGCGTTTCCTTTTGATCTGATAGACCAGGGCTGAAGTCAGAACATACTCTTCGACAGAAACTCACCTGTACGAAGTCTAACGGTACTGACATATCGCTTTCAAGCACCCTTACAGAGCTCTACGTGAAAAGCAAGGAAACAGCGGGGCGGTGAGACCAAGACTTGTGCTGGTGTGCACGTACTTAGAAGTTAGCTGAGCGCCGAGAATGAGGTCGGATTATGCCGAGGCTTCGCCGGCTGATATCTGAGTCCAAGGCTGGAGCTTTCGAGCAGCGCTCACTCTCCTCCTCCTCTATAACTGTCACTTTTTTGTCGTACAGTCTCCAGGTTTCCTTGCCTTACTCTGGCCAGGAGTTCTCTTGTGACCGCCGCGGGACGCGGACATCGTCGTGAACGTCTGACCTATGCTCTTACCTCGTGTTTACCGGACTCTGCAACTCGTCTCGACGATCTATATATGTACCTCCATCATATACGCGACCTGTGGGCTCCTTGGAATACGGATCAAACCACCGCTAACGAAAATCGGATCCTTGTACGGTCGTCCCTCATCCGGCCATTCTGAGGGGATTCAGTTCTATCACTTTCCTGGATACTGGAGCTCGCGGGCCCCTAATCGGACGGTCTCTCTAGCTTCCAAGCACATTGTAACTTATGGCCGGGATCAAACCACAACTAATAGACTAGAGGTGTCTGAGGGGCTGTTCTTGTCGAAGGCGTTCGCGCAGTCTATGCATCCCAGCAAGATAATCCCGTACTTCTATAGGGCAACAGCCTCCCTCGAACAGGACGACATTACTATCGCTACCCTTGTGACAAGCAACCGTTTCGAAGTATTCAAGAAGCTTGTCGTCAGCTACAAAGGTCCTGTATCCGTGGCTATTCACATCAAAGATTCAACGGAAGAGATCGAGGCTCTCCTTGACCGTCTCCACGAATTATATACCTCAGATCCGCTCATGTCTCTCTATGTCGATGTACACCTCGTGGTCGACCGGTTCGATCGGCAGTTTAACACCTGGCGCAATATCGCCCGCCTCTTCGCTCGAACGGACTTCGTTATGATGCTGGACGTTGATTTTGCTGTCTGCACCGATTTCCGCTCCAGTATCCGTCGCAGTCGCGCTATCATGGACAAGCTGGAGGCAGGGAATACAGCACTAGTCGTCCCTGCGTTCGAGTACGTCAAACAGAGGGACGGCATGGACCAGTCGAAGTTTCCGAAGAGCAAGAAGGAGTTGGTGTCCCTCGTGCGGCAAGGCCTCGTCGACATCTTCCATCGCTCTTGGGCACCTGGTCACAACAGTACTGATTATGACAGGTTCTACGTCGCGCAACCTGGTGAAGTATACAAAGTGACACAATACCAGTCTGCCTATGAGCCCTATGTGATCTTCAAGAAAGAGGGACCGCCATGGTATCAGTGAACCCTCTTTGCCATCATGGTATATTACAACGGAGCTGCCCTCACAGGTGCGACGAGCGTTTCGTAGGTTACGGCGGTAACAAAGCTGCTTGTATCTACGAGATGTACCTTTCGGGCATTTCGTTTTACGTCCTCTCCGATCATTTTCTGATTCATCAGAGCCATCCTTACGAGGAACAAGCGAGGAAGAACGAGGTCTGTGTAACTGCCTACGTCTTGCAGCTACTCGCATATTATTGACATTTGCGCATTATAGAGGAAGTATAATAAGAAGATATATTCAGATTTCAAAGAGGAAGCGTGTCTTCGGTCCGTCCTGCCTTCGAAGGGCGCTTATCTGGATTGAATATCTAGTGCAGGTATTTGAAGCGGTTCTACGCCGACGGTACCCTCAATACAACGCGTGGCCACAACGTACAAGAGGAATGCAGGAAAATCAAAGGGTTCTCGAGGATCGCGGCTCAGGTAGAAGTTCACCTCTCCTGGGGATATCCTGCGTGACGTTGATCATATGATGCAGATTATCGATGGCCTGTCCTGACTCGTCTTCATTTGTCGCCACCAATCTCCCCGTCTGCTTAGTATCTCTGATCCGTTGTCCTCAATTGCATTTGTCTTTCCGGAGTACAATATCAGTCTTCAGATTCCAAATCCAGAATGGTCAATCCACCTGTCTGCGATCCGATTACGAACAACCGTCCGCGGGACAGCCATAAGCTTCTCAACCATGCGGGCCGCCTGCTGGGAGGAATCCAACATATTCTTCTCCCCTCGAAAGCATGCGTCAGCCAGCCATCCTCCTGCAGGTAGTAGTATGCGTCGGATTTGACTAGAGTCTCGTACTCGACCATATCTGGGCTGCGAACAATGTCGTCCGTTCTGTCCAGCCTCCACTCGCGATACGGGACGGCCTCGTATGAGAGAGGAGCTCTGCGAATCTTCCATACGCCGACGTGTTCGTCTTCATACCATGCGACGATGTGATTACCCTGTGGCGCGTACGCGACCCAGAGTACTGGACTCGGATGGTTTGATAATAATCCCAGCATCTCGCCTGATTTAGTATTCCACACGCGAATTGTCGAGTCAAATGAACCAGACACGATAGTAAGCCCGTCGGGAGAGAATGTGGCCACGCCGACGCCACCATCATGGCGAGGAAGTGTGCGCAAACATGTCCCGCGGCGAGTATCCCATACCCGCACGTAGCAATCCTCGGAAGCGGACACGAGAAAATCTCCATCTTTGGAAAAATCAACGCAATGGACACTGGCGGAATGATCACTTAATCGATGGGCGAGCACAAGGTCATCTCCACGAACGTTCCATAACCCGATGGTACAGTCCACGGATGAAGTCGCGACATGCATGTCGTCAGGGGAGACTGCAGTGAAATTGATACGCCCCTTGTGCGCATTCCGCTTGCTGAGCAGTTTGCCATCCCGCGCATTCCATAAGCCCAGTACGCCGTCCGTGGATCCGGAAAAGACCCGCAGAGTATCGGATGAGATCGCGACGTTCATCACCCAATCCCTGGAGCCCTGTTCCCCTGTCATCGAGGCGTCCCATGCACGAACTGTACGATCACCGGACGCTGACGCGACCCATGCACCGTCTGGGGAGAATTGAGTACAGTCAACTCCTCCCGAATGCCCGTAGAATACTGATAAGCAAGTTCCTCCCGTGTCCCACACACGGACTGTACCATCAGCTGAGCCGGAGACAAGGCATTTGGCACTGGAGAAGGCGACTGATTTGACAGCTTGCGAGTGACCAGTTAGACGAGAGATCTCTTTGCAGTCGGATACACTCCAGAGGATTATAGATTGGTCCTCGGATCCCGACGCTACACAAGTGCCATCCGATGACGATGCGACGCACAAAACACCGGCGCTATGCCCCTGGTATGAATTTTGCAGGCTCCCAGTCTTCACATCCCATGAACGAACGGTCTGGTCGAGACTACCGGAAATAACGAAAGAATCCTTGTTCGAGCACGCGACTGAGGTGACAGATTTTCCGTGGCCTTCCAGGGTCCATCGCACCTTGCATGTAGACGCGTCCCAGATCCTGAGCAGTCCGTCTTCATGCCCAGAGACGATAGTTCGTCCGTCCGAGGAGAAGGTCACACTAATAACACCGCCTCTCGTCTTCTTGAATACGGTAAGACACTGCCCAGTCACAGCATGCCATGTCCGGATTGTGCCGTCGTCGGAGCCAGAGGCAATGTAGTTTCCGTCCCCGGAGACAGCCACCGAGTTGACTGGACCAGAGTGGCCGCATAAGTGCATTAGACATTGACCATCCGCGAGATTCCAGAGCCGCAAATCATTGTCCTCGGATCCAGATACAAGCCGACTCCCGTCGGGATAAAAGGAAAGTGCGCGCACAGGGCCAGTGTGACCTTCCAGCACCAGATTGCAAACGTCCCAATTATCCGTCCGAGGAGTCGTCATTCTGACGGAAGAACTCAGTTCGGACTCGTAATATCGTAGGAGCGTGCAATTCGGGATAAACGCAAGAGCAGATGCGTAAAGCTGCATTGTGCTTTCCCGTATGACTTTCTGGAAGTCTAATACGAGACGGTAAGCGTCAGAAATGAGAGAATAGGTATCGCTTCGTATTGAGTTCACCTGCGACCGAAAGGTGATCAATAGAGCGTCAGGTTCTAAAGGGCCTGTTACTCACCCTGCACCAGTCTTCGGCAAGTGCCAGGTTGGCGATGCATGAGGAGAACTGGCCACTGAGGCTGACGGCTTCTATCCAGTTCAGAAGTCTTCGTGAAGTGAACGCGGATAATTGCTCCTTCAGTGGCGCCATAGATGTGGCATCCTGGGCAGACTTTGAAAGATGAGTGCCCCAGTGCCGGCAGGCGTACGATAGTGCGGGGGAAATCTGTTGACCGAGTTTCGCTTGAAGCTGGGGGATCTCCACATTCAGTATCGGCTCATCACCAATGTCGCATATATCCCGTTTGAGGCTATTAATCATAATCGCTAGGCAGTCTCCCGCCAATTGTCCATGGATTTCTGCCTCAGAGATAGCAAACTGGACATCCATACATCGCTCACGATTGAGAAGGAAGTCGCGAAAGGACGGATGAAAGATGCGTATGGGCGTAGATCGATCCGAGGGATTGAGAACGAGGACGGAGCGAAGAGGGAGCAATGCCACTAAAACTTCATCCTCCTCCTTCTGCATGAGAGTCGCCAACGTCTTAATGGACATCGGGTCTTGCGCGATCACGATTGCTCCAACAATGTCACGAAATCTTTTGCAAAGTAGGTCCCGGTCTCGCCTGCCTTCCACCATTCTTTGTAAGATATGGAGGTACAGCTCATCCACACCCATATAGGTGGACGACGGCTGAGCCGCTTCTTCAAGCAATCGCCTTAATTGTTCTTGAGGGGTATAATAAGAGTCCGCGAGGTAATTGACCATGGTGGCAGCGAATATGAATAACAGACCGGCACGAGCAAGGAGCAGACTCAAGGCGTAATCGGCGGGCCAAGGCGGCTGTATCGCCCGGTCCATCTGGATCCGATGTAGATGATGGGTCAAGTATAGCTCGATGTCACGTTTTACCATGGACTGGTCAACTTCGTGCAGTATAGATGGGCGATACACTGAAGAGCCGCCACCAGTTCTCTTGAACGTCTCTTCGATTGATCGTTCCGGCCGGCTTGTAACGAGGACTTTGAGCCTCAATTTTCTTTGAGGGACTTCCGCAAAGAGAAGGTCCAGCAGGTCGCCGCCTTCTTTGCCTCTTTCCTTGTCGCACTCATCTAGGGCATCCAAAACGACCAGGAGGGTAGGCGTGTGCGCCGACAACTGGAGCAACGGTTCTTTGAGGAGATAATCAAACTGCAACTTCTGGGCGCTACCGGGAGCGTGTGGATACTTCTGAATGGATGCACATATTTCGGAGCGCAGCTCCGGCCTAACCGCCGCGAGCTGGTAAGCCAACGTTGGTATGATTCTCGAGACTCGCCGCTGGTCAGTGCTATCTCTGGAGAAAAAGAATGCCGCCCCCAGCCGATTGATCTTCTTCGTCATATCGCAAATTGTATGGGAAACTGTTGTTTTGCCCGTCCCAGCCAATCCCGATAGCCAGAAAATCTGGGGCACCTCGGGGTCTTCGTCATTGAACCAGGCAGAAATCTTCTCCAGTAGTGCATCTCGCGTTCCGCTCAGACAGCCAGACTCAGGGTGACGCGCTTCAAAGCTGGCGGTTTCAACAGGGCTGAGAAAGTCTATGGAATCTTTTAGTATCACCGCCGTCGTCCAAATACCTTTGGAAGGCTTACGATGTAGATCGGTCAGGTCCCGTGCTGCTTTCGCAGCTGCCATTGCAGAACTTAGTGCCACAAGGGCGTCATCAAAACGCATAATCGACGTTATCTGTTTAAGAGGTGTGATTACAAAACTTGATAATAGTGAATGCTAGATCTACCTACTCCAAATGCATCAATCGCATTGTTAAGCCGGTTTGTCAGATTGGAAATCCGATCTTTAATTTTGTCCCTTCCCGTTACTCGGTGCCACAAAGACACATCCGTCAGACTCTCCAGTAACTGCTGAATTTCGACGAGTGTGCTTCCTGAGGTTGGCGTAATGCGTTAGAACGAGTAGGGTAAGCATCACTTACCCGTTCAGAGCTTTGACCTTGATCTCTCGAGAAGGTAGAGTTTTCGAATCTCCCTTCATAAGCTCAGTGATGATAGCGGCTGTCACTGTGTAGGCGCGGTCTGTCAACGCCGTGCACTGACGTTTCAGAGTTTCTACTTCCTGATAATCTCTTAGTACTTTTACAAGGGATGTTGGAACCCATGCACCTTGTTGATCTCGACAATACCCAGTACAGTCTCGATCGACGCGCCAAGTAAGTCTCCCGCCAGGGGGACAGCTTTCGCGAAAGGAAGCAAGACTTTCAGAGAGTCCACAGCAACAGTTCCTGCAGCAGCCGCACGGGAGGAGGATCTCCTTCCGTATGTCATAGTTCAGACCTGAAAGAGATTAACAGCAAAGGCCCATGATGCTTAGGTATTCGCAAACCGTGGATGCCCAGAGCCTCGGAAAGCACGTAAGGTTAATCCCTCATGTTTCCGATGTTTTGGCTGTACCCCGAGAATGATTCTGTCAATGAACCAGGCGCCGAAGGTGCCTGTCTTTAGTGTGTGAAGCAACATCGACAAATTAGGCTCGGCCCAAGGACAGCTCCGACCACAATAATCAGGCGAAGACAACATAAGGTGCAAGATAGCAGTTCTCTGACAGCAGTGGGTGCAGTCGGAGTCCGCGTGCCTTTCATATCAGCCTGAAGCGTGGCTTTGAATTCGTTCGACTATTCCCACGGATATTAGCCAACCAATACCGTCTCCCGATTCCATGATAGCCCCATGGCTTGCAAAGGGCAGTTCTGATCATGTTTCCAATATTTTGGATCATCATGACCCACAATAGTCAGGAAACCGTGTAAGTCCTTCGGTGCATGGAATGCTAGCGTTCATGATCATGAGACTCCACCTTAGCAGGTGAACTCTGAATCGTTCGAGAAGCTCGACATTCCATATATCTCAGATACCCAAGCACAGTCGAACCCGGTTCTGGAGCTCTTCCGAGTTACAGTAAAACAAAGAGCTTTATCTGACTTGAAAGGAATCCAGGCACCCCGATAGTGGGTCTATGCTTGCCCATAAAGCCGGTCCCGTCTCTCCCAAACTCGTCCGATGACTGTTCACTTTCTACGCTATGTTCGTCCGACTCGAAGCACCAGTATCGCGAGCTGAACTTGCTTTCAAGTTCGCTCAAGTAGACTCAGAGTGCGTCGTCCCTATATTCCCCTGCGTTCGCTAAGAACTCACGATGTCTTTCGCACTGGCAGGATACAGCATTTGCCAATAACTCTACCTTTCCCTGGTGGCGTCCTTAAATCACGTCCGGAGGATAAGACAGGGCCTGATTATATCCGAATACTGATCGAGAACAATCAAGATGTCTGGGACAAATACATGAATCACCCTTATCTGCAGGAACTTGCGAAGGGAACTGCTTCCCTGGATGGATTCCGATATTATATGATCGTACGTACAACCTCTAATGTTGGAACCCGCTTCAAATCGATCTTGGCTTTTCGCAGCAAGACACGAAATATGTGGAGAAATATATCAGTGTTAGGATGGCATCCGTCTCCACTTCGGCATTCGAAGATGTGCAAGAATTCGCCATGAAGCTCCCGCACACTGTTAGTTACGTCGACGCTATGAACCAGATATGCGAAAACAGTCTGGGACTTCCGAGGGCCGTCGTGAAAGATACACCGCTCAGTAAACGGCTCCAAGCATCTGTTGACTTCAACGTCAGCATTGCCAGGGAAGGCAATTGGTTCGAGTTCGTCTAGTTTATTCCTTCTATCAGAGATGCATGACACCACGTTGTGGCTTGGTAGGATGCATATCGCCTTGGTCCCGTGCATCATCGTACGTCCCTCGCATGCATGAAGCTCTATAGGCTGCTCACGTCTAGCAGGGATACTCCGATATTGGATTCAAGCTTGCAAGAGATCCACGCACCATCAGAAGTCTGCATATTTATCTGATCACTAGCGGCATTTACCCATTGGCTGTGTTATTCAGATTCCCCATACTACCGGCTTTGGGTACTTCTCAACGCCGACAATTCCTACGCGCAAGCGTACCACAGTACGTTTTTAATTCGAATGTTAGATGAAACGGAGACTGGATAGGCTACAGCATTCATCAACCGGAACATAGCCCACTACTGGACACCACAAGCTGAAGAACAATGGAACAAGATCTTCCGCCGCGCATGCGAGTTGGAGATGGACTTTTTGGACGTTGCTCGCGATTTATCGTCTCCTTATCGCATCGTGGACAATGGGACGTATATGATCAAGAACTTCTCAGAAGGGACAGTGATGACCCTTCGCGGAGGCCGCTCAACCGAAGGCACTCCAGTCATCCTGTCCAAGTCGGACGGGTCACTGAGCCAGAAGGTACAAAGTCATCAAGTATTGCCGCCGTTTCTTGCTTACCAACGAACCGCTCCCACCAGTGGAAGCTCGTGGCCAGCAAGGATGGCTATACCTTGCAAAACGTGGCCAGTGGTACTTTTGCGGCCATCGTGAAAATAGGGAAGGAATTGCTCATCCGTGGATCTAAGAAGCCGACCCGTTGGTGGATCAACCCGATCCTCCTGCCCAGTGAGACGGCAGACGATCCACCAGCCTATCAGTAAGCATTGCTTTGAGTGCCCTCTGGGCGCCATCCGATGAGGTGACCCTCCACCTCCAGGTTCTTTATGTCGACTGAGGTGCAGCATGTGATGGACGTATGTCGCCTCCCGCCCCTGTGGACGCTCCTCCAGGACGCATGGGAGATATTCCTGCCATTCATGGATCCGCAGCCCCCGGACGATCACCGATTGGTTTCCGAGTCCGATCTCGCCGTTGCAGTAAGGATTTTTGTATTGTCTCCTCGTGCATTCGCACTTTCTTACTCTGGCAGGTCATCGCTCGGGACAACTGCGAAGTCTCCAGTCAAATCTGGACTTTGGATGCCTGCACATGACATCATCAGGATGAGGGGAATTGCAGTGGTAGACCTGTATATTGCATGCAAACAGATGAATGAAATACGCAGGCCGATATAAAACAATTTCCGTGACGAACAGAAAAACAAAACTACGACTGCTTCTGCAGGTCCGCCAACTCCGCCTTGAGCTTCTTCAGCGCCTCCACACTCTTCGCAATCTCCTCCTCCACCTCCTTCGTCTTTGGCGCGCGCGCCTTCAGCTCCCGCACCACATTCCCCTGCTCCGCGACCTTCTGCTCCCACGCGAGCACCTCGGGGCTCTTGGGGCCCTCCGCCTTCGCGCCGTCCGCCTTCGCCTTCTTCGCCGCCGCCGCCGCCTTGCGCTTCGACATCCCCGGCGCCACATGCGTCGCGTCCGCCTTCACCTCCGCCGCCGCCGCCGCCGGGCTGCCCCCGGGCAGCCCGCCAAACTTGGCGCGGAACACATCCGCCATCTTCTCGTCGATCCGCGTGAACAGATGCGCCGGCGTCCCGATCACATGCCCGGGCAGCAGATCCACGCCGAGCACATCCGGCACCGAGCGCGCGGGGGCGTTCAGCTGCGCGAGGATCGCGTCGCCCGTCGCGGGCATGAACGGGTGGACGAGCGCGGAGAGCACGTATATCAAGTTCGCCGCGCGCGAGACGACCTGCGCGCAGCGCCGCGGGTTCTCCGCCATCAGCGTTTTGTTCAGCCCGGAGGCCTGGAGATAGGTGTTGCCCCGGCTGGAGAGCGCCATGACGGTCTGCAGGCCGAGGCGCAGCTTGACGGCGTCCATCGCGTCGGTGTAGTCGCGCAGGAGCGCGTTGACGTCCGCGATAAAGGCCGCGTCGGCGGGGTCGTTGGGCGAGAGCGGGCCCGGGGCGTCGCCTGCGTCCGGGATGGTGCTGTTGTATTGGCTCGCGATAAATTTGAGCGCGCGGTTGACGAAATTGCCAAAGCTGAGACGCGTTATGATTAATTCCTGTATATTATCTCGGACCTGAAAACTTACTTGTTGAGCAGGATATTATTGTTAGCCGCGATCTAGCAGGACACATGAGCAACACACAAGACCTCGAGCGCATGCGCCGAGCACTCACGCATTCATCCCACGAGAACATCGCATCCGACGTCTCCGGGCGCACCGACAGCAGGTAGAACCTCCACACGGGCGACGGTATCCCCGTCTCCTTCGCGGCGGGCCCGAACACGCCGCGGTTCCGGCTCTTCGAAAACTTGCCGCCCTCGTAGTTCAGGTACTCTACAACACGGCGTAAAATATATCAGAAATGGAACGTGCAAGGAGGACGCACCGGTGGTGGAGAGATGGTGGAGCGTCGTCCACGGGCGCCCGTCGCCGAGCTGGATGGAGGGCCAGTAGATGGTGTGGAAGTAGACGTTGTCCTTGCCCATGAACTGGTACAGGCGCACGTGCTGCTGGTTGAACCACCACTGCCTCCACTCGGGCGTGTAGTTGGCGGTGATGCTCGGGTACCCGATGGGCGCGTCGAACTACGGCACACGCAATGGTCAGCGGTCCCGGAACACACGCCTCGAGTCTGTTACATACCCAGACGTCTAATCGCGGTAACCCAGGTCAACTCGGGACAGAGACGAGCAAGCGCACGAGACGACTCACACAAAACCTTGCCCCGCATCGCCTCGTCCTCCGGCCCCTCGATCGGGACCGGCACCCCCCACTGCAAATCCCGCGTCACGGGACTCGGCCGCAACCCCCCCTTCAACCGCGCATCGACCAGCTCGCCCTCCGCGTTGATAACCGAATTCGCGCTCCACCTGCCCTCTTTGTACGATTTTTTGATCCACGCTTCGGTCAAAGGCTGGAGTTTGTCGAGCTTGACGTACATGTGCTCGGAGGAGCGCGTGGTGACGGCGTGCGTGCGGTCGATGAGGCAGCGCGGGGAGATGAGGTCGATCGCGTCGAGCGTGCGCGCGCACGAGTCGCATTGGTCGCCGCGGGCGTCCTAAGAGCGGGGTGAGGGGAGATGAGATGGAGGGAGGGGGGCACGTACGTCGGCGCCGCAGTGCGGGCACTTGCCCTCGACGAACCGGTCGGCGAGGAACCTGCGTGATCGTGAGCGCGTTGTAGGTAGAGCCAGTGGACGGCGATACGCACTTTTTACACCCCTCGCAGTACGTCTGCTCTTTCGTCTGCCGTTCGAGGTAGTCGTTGTGCTTCAAGTTGAGGTATATACTCTGCGCGATCCTGGGAGCCCGTGCCCGCGATTAGCAGCGCACAAGCAAAGCAAAGCAAAACGCACTCGGTGTGCTGCTGCGTTGACGTGCGGCCGAAGTAGTCGAAGCCGATCTCGAACCACTTGTATGTCTCCCGGTGGAGCTCGTTGTACTTGTCGCAGAGCTCTTTAGGTGTGACGCCCTCCTTGAGGGCCTGGGTCTCGGTTGCGGTGCCGTACTCGTCGGTGCCGCAGACGTAGAGGGTTCTGCGGTTTCGTGTGCCTGTACGAGGGATGATCAACTAGCGGTGGGATGTGCGATGAGGGTGTGCGTACGGTTATATCTAGCATGATGCCGAGTGAGGTCGGAGGTAGACAAAAAAGCGCTGCGACGCACCTTGCAAAGACGTCCGCGCTGAGCGTGCTTCCGATGATATTCCCTGCGCGACATCATGCCAAGGAGGTCGCGTGAGGAGGGCGACGGACGTACCGAGATGCGGGACGTTATTGCAGTAGGGCAGGGCGGACGTGATGAGGACGTTGCGCTCGCCCTCCTTGGGTAATCTGTACAAGCCTCTGATCAGCCGAGTCATTCCACGCAGAACGCAAGCGATCCGACATTGCTTCACCGGGGGAATACACCGTCCTGAGCAGCCCGTCCGCCGCTCTGATTTTTCGCGTGGAAGTAGACATGAAGCGGGGGCTATAATACAAGAGAGGGACTCGACGAAGGGGAGACAGGATGACTAGCACGAGCGTTGCGGGTGAATCGACGAAGGGGAGACAGGTGACTCGACTCTGGCGGAAATCGTTATCGAGCTCATCCTCCCTCGCGTGGCTTGCACTGCCACCGTTTACGACTGGCAGGCGGGCTTCGATCGCTCCAAGATGACCGTCGGCGCGAGCATCTGGTGTTACACCGACCCGGGGGACCGCGCGTTCTGGGACGACCTGTGGGTGAAGAACAGCCAGGCGGACTGGTTTGCCCGCGCGGCGAAGGCGGCGGGGGTGGCGACGGAGGAAGACCTGAGCAAGATTATGCAGCCTTGGAAGGACTAAAGATGGGTGGGTTGGGGTCATCCGTGCGGAGATCATCTGCCCCGTATAAGTTATCCTAGGCTAGCGTCCTCTGCAGGGTTTCTCCACTCATGCACCGGCATGTATGTATTTTGCGTCTCCTTCGTGGTCGCATTCACACTTGGATGCAATGTAATTTGAATATCCGCTAAGCATGTACGCAGCTCCCGGCTTGTTCTGCGTCTCTTTGCGAACATTAATGGCTGCGTGTACTCGACTGTTTCTTCAGAACATGGCGGATTTTGAGGCAGCTCGTCCCGCAGAGCTCCGTGGTCGGCGCCGACCCGCTCCCGCGGATGCGTCGCGAACGTCCGCTCGACCTGCGCCAGTTCCGCCCGACGCCGCGCTCGACGGTCGTGCATGCGCACCAGGTCTGCAGCACGTCCGCGATTGGGGGGCGGGGTCGTCGCCGCCGCCGCCGCCTCCGATTTCCCCACCGTGACGTGGTATCCCGAGAATGAGGGCATGCAGCTCTGGAACTTGAAGGACACGTATCTCCACCTCCAGCGGTTCAGGGACCTCGATCCCGACACGCCGCGCCGGCTGCACGCCTGGGCAAGCCAGGCGGCGGGGTTCGACAGGTCTAGACGACCACCGGCGGGAGCGTGTGGTTAGTGAGCCACCCTGTGGATCGCGCCTTTGGGGCGATACTTGTGTGGATCAACAACAGCCATGAGGAAGACCTTCACTGACGATGAAGACGGGTGGGTGGGGCTTATCCGCGCAGCGATCATCTGCCCTGTGTAGGTCACTCTGCGGCGGGACACGGTCTCTCAACAAGCTTGCCTCTTTCCTCTGTGATCCACTAGGTACAGCTAAGATGTTCTACAATTGAATACATATTTTGCATTGTAATGACAGTGCTATGTATCGATACAAACGGCGTGTACACTCTCCCGCCGATGGCAGTATAAATACAATCACGCGTAGCCGAACGCCTCAACGTGCAGCGTTACGCTCGGCGCACCCTTCAGGACGCTATTCGGTCCGGCGAACGGGTTAACCCTCAGTGAGGACCTCACATTCTTCGCGATGCTCTGGCTTCCACACACTACACACAATCAACCCCATCAGAAACATACCACCGTGGAAGCACGAAGGCCGACTCACCGCAAACGCTGGTATGCCCCTCGGCGCCCTCCAACTCGGTGTGCACGAGTCTCTGGAAGTCCGGCCGGCCGTACGACACCTGCACAGCGCGCAGGTGCAGGAGGTCGACTGTCTTCTCTGCCTCGGCCTTCTCGATCGACCACGACGAGCCGACGCGCGTGTCGAGCGACTCCTCGGACCGCGCCATGGGTGAACTGCCGATGTCGAGCGGGTTGGGCGGGGACTCGATGCCCAGGCGCGTGATGTGGATCGAGACGGAGATGGACATGCTCGCGGGCGCCAAGGAGAGCGCTTTGATGATGGCGGGGGAGACCCAGCGCAGGTGACCTGCCACAGGCGTGGTTACTCAATGGTAAGGATGGGAAAAAGGAAGTGGCCTACTCGAGTCTCGGATGGACCAGATGAAAAGGACCCTCCGGGCCCGCCCTTTCTTCGCAACGGACAGAAGCAGAGGCAGCGTGTAAGAGATGCCCGTTCCACCTGTCGAAGGATGTCAGTGGATGCCGAACGACTGGCGTGTACGACACTCACCCGCAACGAGAACAACCGTATCCGAGCCGTCCAGATCCGGCGAGCACCCATACGGCCCGTCCAACAACACATTCACCTTCGCCTCGCCGCTCTGCGCAGCATGCGCCAGGCGCTTCGTGAACCCGCTCTGGGCATTAATCAAGAACACCACCTCCTTCCAGTGCTCGCCGCCCTTCTCCCCGTTGCCGCCGTCCATCGCGCCGTCATGCACGCTCGCGATGGAGAACGGGTGCGCCTCGAAGGGCAGGCGCGACACGCCCGGCATGATGATGTAGGAGAGCTGCCCCGGGGACCAGGAGAAGCCCGGCGGGCGCGGGACGCGCAGCCGAACGAGGTCGGGCGCGAGGAGGTCTGCGCGGGCGGTGACTGAGGGGTCGGAGGCGGATGAGAGGTGCGGGGAGAGTTTGAAAACTACGACTCGGATGAGGCGGATGAAGCGGTCAAGGCCCCATACGAGGAAGGATGGCCAGACGTATTGCTGGAAGCTAGATCGAGGTGGTTAGGGTTAGGCTCTGACTTTGGAGGTTACGAGACGCACTTGAAGTTGACGGTGTGGTAGTAAGCGCCAAGCAGGATCAAGCTATAACGCGTGTAAGCAACGTAGGTCGAGGATTGGGATCGGACTACATGACTCACAAAGCCAGTATAAAGTGCATGTAGAAGAAGAACTCGTATGCTACAGCACGGACTGGGCGGAGAGAGACCAAGACCAGGGCGCTGAACGCAAACACGGACACATAACCCAGATTGAGCCAGGTGGTGCCAATCTCGTCCGGGGTGATACTGCAGGGAATGTTTGTTGGTGGGTACTTACCGGCACATACTATTACTTACCCGCCTGGGACTGCAAGCTAGGCCAACAATGAGTGCGATGATCGGGGGAAGACATGACAATGCGACGCTTACCTTGGAACCGGCATGAAGCCAGAGGAGTACGAGTAGGACACGAGCAGACATGCGATGGAGGTTGTTCATCTATCACTAACAGTGAGCCCAACGCAAGTCCCGGATGCTTTTGGACTGTACCTTCTCGTAGCTTATGCCAGTTAGTACTGGATGATATCAAACGCATCAGTCGAATCCCAACGGCAGAGACTGGCGTCCGTACGAGTAAGGACATTATTCTTTGTACCCAAGACGGTAATGAGCGGAAATTGGCTCGCAGCCAGGGTACCAGCCCGATTGCTGTAGAATGACCAGTCGAACTTGACGCCCTCAAGATCGGTGGCTACAATCGAGAGTGTTTACCATCGCCAGAATGGATAAATGTTGCATAGATGCTTACTCCTGACCAAAGCGAACACAAACAGGACCAGAATATACCCGCATGTCGCGAATAGATCGGCGAAACACAGAGAGTACGATTTGCCAATCTGCACGGTGCAGCGGAAAGCGAGGATACGCCAGGCGTTAACGAGAGCGGTGGGAGCCTTGCGCAAGGAATTGGTGGCCCGCCTGGGGCTTGAAGGAGCACTGCCGCCTTCGGGATCGACGACCGAGGTTAGTGAGGACGGGGCCGGCCGTCGGGTCAGTCTCGCCAGGAGCAGTGAAGCAAAGTGGACCAGGGAGAGGAAGATGATGAAGCTGGCAAGGAAATACCAGATTTCCTTTGGGTACACCTTGGCCAGGGCGACCCGAATGGTCTTGTCTGTCACTTTTGCTCCTGGCATGGTCCCGACCGGCGGCTCTAAAATTGAAGACACGAACCTTCAGTCCATTCTTATACATGCAGGTCAGTGCACCCGCAGTAGGGGTATTTCAAAGCAAGGCTCCGATAAGTATGGTTGTAAGCTGTAGCTCTGACAACCATAGGTATCGGAGGCCGGCAGAAATAGATACATAGAACTCGTTCATCGGATATCGTTGCAACGACATCAGCAGACACTCCGCAGAGGGTCCTGTTCGACAAATAGGAAGCACGAAAGGATGAGTCGGTGAGAGTACCATTAGGGTGGCAGCAGCTGCGTCCAACTACGACTCGGATGATTCGCGGAGAAAGCCCACACTGAGCTTGCTCTGAGCGCCTCTGTAATAAGCTTAAGACTGCGAGGGTGGCGTCGACGTCCCTCTAGGCTGGTCTGCGTCTGTCATGACTTTGTTGGCATGGATAAGGTATGCTGCCACCTTCAGAGTCGAGTGTCGAGTTGGAACCTTTGCGTGGCTGCAGAGAGCGCACCAGAATCCCGGAATCCCGTCCTAGCGGTGCCTCCCAACCAGAGTTCACGGTATGTCGTTATCTGCGCATGTTCACTATGACTACAGCCTCATTCCAGTGTGGGTAGTTTCCAGCCGTCGTACTTGGTCTTCTGATAGGCTGCCTGCTATGCTTTACGAACCTATACTTCGGCCTGCAGACAGGATGGATCAGCATGTATGCCCCTTCCACTCTCAAGGCTATGGTTAAGATTCGTAATGATCCTCCGTCGCAAGGATGTCGCTGCAATCCGCTCTCATTGGTTTCCTTATATCGCGGCTGCTACCGCGACCAATGACCCCACAGGAGAACATTGTTCTGCAGACCACGGCCGTGGCGACGGGAACTGTATGCACATCATGTTCTGGACGGAACAAAACAGCCAGCTGACTGACCAACGATAGATGCCTCTTGCTGCGGGATTCGTAGGCATTCTACCGGCTCTCGGTCTCCTGGATGAAGAAAGGGACGGTACCCCTCCCGTGCACCTATCATGGGTTGCGGCTATAGGATGGTCCTGCGCAGTTGCGTTCTTCGGGTACATAATACCACATATCCTGATCAGTCTATGGACGATTAACCTCTTGGGCTTGGTCATGGTTACAGGGTCTTCCTCTCTCCTCCGATCCGGAAACAGGTGGTATGCACGCCCCCATCTCACGGCGCCCTACTTTATTGTTATCATGACGTACTCTAGATTATTGAGGAGCAACTCCCTTTCCCTTCGGGCACGGCGACTGCCCAGCTTATCTCGGTCCTGCATCAACTGCCGCCGCCCGATACCACCATCCGGAGGCGCCACACAGGCTACCGGGCTTTGACGGTCGAAGACGCGGACGAGCACGACCATGCGTATGAAGGACCACTGCCTGACACACCCACCGTCTCCGACATCGTTGAATCAGCCGACCCGCCCGTGCGCGAGTATGTCCAGCAGGAGAGCTGGGTGGCCTTGTTCTGGAGCTTTGTTGCTTCGGGCGTTATGACTGTCAGTGCCAAGTAAGTAGAGTAAGGTATATGCTAACCTGTAGACAGCTTGCAGCGTACTTTTTTCCCATCGTTTTCTCAATACCTCTATTCGGGAACTACCTAGCCAGGGAATGGCTCTGGTCTTTCACACCCAGCCTTTCGTACATCGGTCAAGGTCCGCATCCTCGCTCACATTTCATCTCCCTCCACTTACCGCATCCTAGGTATCATAATGGGCTTCCCCACCACGCTCAGCATGAACCTCGTGAGCCCCCTTCCTCCTTCGTACCGCACTCACTCACGCCTGCAAAGGGCATGCTGGTCGGCTGGGGTGTGCTGTCCCCGCTCTCAAAATACAACGGCTGGGCCCCGGACGCGGTGGGCGACATGACCGCCGGTGCGCGCGGCTGGATCCTCTGGACGTCCCTCGCGATCATGTGCGCAGACAGCTTCGTCTCGCTCCTCCCCGTCGTCGCCGAGTTCGTCGCGAAGGAGATGCGTATACGCAGGCGTCGCGCCAGCGGGGTGCACGTGTCGGAGCATGATAAAGATGATAACGAGGTGGAGACAGAGGATAGGCTGGTGCCGAATAGCTGGGTGCTGTGGGGCCTCGGGGCGAGTGTTGTGCTGGGCATTTTCCTTGTGTGGTTTATTTTTGGGAAAGAGGGGATCACGCCATGGGCTACGGTGGTAGGGTTCATCATGGGCGGGCTGCTCAGCATCCTGGGGTAAGAAGCTAGATCCGTTGATGCCTGTACAAAATTCTGATGCTGGACGGACAGAGTGCGTGCTCTTGGGGAGACAGATTTGAACCCTGTCAGCGGACTGGGTAAGATCAGCCAGCTACTCTTCGCCATTATTCAGCCCGGCAATATTGTGGCGAACATCATCGCTGGTGGAGTGGCGGAAGCCGGCGCGCAACAGTGCGTTTACATCTCATCCCGCCTTGCCTGTTCTTTGCTGACATTGACTATAGGGCGGGTGATCTGATGCAGGACTTGAAAACCGGTCACCTCATTCATGCGTCCCCGAGGGCGCAATTCTACGGGCAGCTGATCGGCTCGGCTTTGTCTATTGTCGTGACGTCCACTGCATACAGTCTGTACAGCAAAGCGTACGCAATACCAGGGCCGTCATTCCCCGCACCGACAGCGTACGTCTGGCTCAGCCTAGCACGTTTGCTTCGTGAGTAGCCTAGTACCCGTGAGTCTTCAATCTCTCCAAAACTAAACTATGATTGCAGGGGATGGCCAACTACCAGCGAAGAGCGGAGTGTTCATGCTTGCTTTCGCAATCGTATTCGGCGCAGTAGCCGGCTTCAAAACCTACGCCGTGCGTCACCAGCTGCCCTACTCCAAATGGATCCCCTCCGGCGTAGCGTTCGCCATCGGCTTCCTCAACACGCCCTCGTTCTCCCTCGCCCGGTTGGTCGGGGGCATCACGGAATACGTGTACCATAGACGCGTCGTCAAAGACGGCCACGATATCAGGTTGATAATCATAGCGAGCGGTTTTGTGCTTGGCGAGGGCGTTATAAGCGTTGTATCTTTAGTTTTGCGGACTTTCGGCGTCGGGGCTGCGAGTTGCTGGGGTTGCGGGCACGGGCTTTGTGCTGGGTGTCCTGCTTCATAGACTTACTCATTTTCGGTATGGGTTCATCATCATTTAGAGTGTCGTCGATGTTTGTAATAGTACAGTAACGTAGCACCGATCGCGAATATCTTCCAACTTCAATTGGTGCATACGCATTACCATGCCTCCTCAGTGCTGCTGACCGAGCCCATAGCTGTTCTCTAGGTCTTCGGGAGGTACCTTGGCTCGCTCATCCTTCCCGGCTGCATTGCCTCGGTCAGGTAATTCCAGAAGTATAGGGGGTCCCTAGTGGTGTCTGTGCAGCAATCATCGGCGCGAGAGTATATAACGAGACTTACGGTTGGTACAGACCCTGTTACAGGGCCGGGGTCCAATATTGAGAACGTCACCGGGGCGGTGTCCATGGCTCGTCGAATATGCGCACGGGAGTTTAGACTGGGGTACAATCGCTCAGAATCAAGAGGATGCGCTAGATAGCGTACCTGAATGCTCACGTGGTTAAAAGCGAAAGTGAAAATACTGCTTCCAGTTATGAGTATGACATTACTCTGCATGGAGGAAGCTTACATTTCGGAAGCATCAAGAAAGGTGCGATCCAGATGTCTGTATCGTCAGAAAAGGTTTGACTGGGAAATTACAGAGGACAGGTATCCTACCAGTCCTGGGGGACAAGGCAAGCTGGTTATTTCCGGATGGTAAGAGGCCTCGTCTGAGAGAGAAAAGATGTCCAGAACCCACCAGGAGCACTATTGCGATTGAACATATGCTAAGGATACATCGGCTTATATAAAATCACGAGAGTATGCAATCATCGTACCTTATGAGAAGCCCAGTTTCTATTTCTGTCCTTAGCGGAGTTGACGGGAAAGAGGCGCCGCTGCCACTCACGTATGCTCCAAAGCATCAGCTTATCAAGTATTCTTCTTGTGCTGAGCATGCAAGAAATCACTCTGATATAAGACATTGCTCTAAGCAGGGGGAAGTTGCAGCGGATCACATACCTCTTGACTTGGGATCTCTTAGATCGGAGAACGACGCAGAGCGCTACCGTATTGAAGACTTCCGCGAGGGCGACAAGAGTAAAAGTAGGCGCTAAGACCAGCAAAGGATTCTGAAAGATCCTTGGATATATTCGCTGCCCGGAAAGGACCATAAGAGCAATGCCCCTGGCTATCTTCGCCCCTACTCCTGCCCAGCCGAGTATAGCGAGCACAAGACGGCGGGACAGCATGTATACCCTGTGAGTAAAGAACAGCTTCGATGGTTTTCAATATAAATGCGTCAGGCGAGCGAGTAATCGAAGATCGAACCTACCTGCACAAGGGATGATGACAGCAGTTCCATGCTGAGCAAAGTGACAAAGGCTCCCAGCTCCGGCGCACCAGCGCGAACTAAGATATCCGCAGGGTTAATAATGCTAACCCCGTAGAAGTATATCCACATGGAAATGGTGTGGATAACATCTATAACTCTGGATTACTATGTGTGAATCAGTGATTCCACATTTCGGTCATAACATCATACACGATAGACGCTACCTGAAGGGTAAATGAGTCGAAGCTAGAGGCCGACAAATACGGCGGACTCACGAAGAGCCGAAGCTTCACATTATCTCTTTGGATGCATTGCTCGTTTTGTGATTTGTAGTAGTCGTAGGACTGAGACAGGACAATGCCAAACAAGCACGAAGCGAGAACACAGCCAATCTCGACCGCACCCTGGCTGGCCGTGTCAGCAACGGACATGGATAAAGGAAAGGATGTCGTCGCGCACTCTCCGTCGCTCTGCGTGGGTTTATATCTATCGAACTCGGGAGTTCGCATCACAGAAGAAGATGAGTATGTCAGATGAAAGGGCATGAACACTGCGGAGTTGTGATGTCGAAGAGACGCGGATACGGAGTTGGTCTGAACGGCGTGACAGCCTGGCAGGAATACTACTACTAGTATCTCCAAGGAGCCAAGCCTGAGCTATTTCACACTGCGTCGAGTCGCGGGGGCCAGACCAGCGTTGACTGCAAAGTGAGCTCGAGATTGACGAGCGCGCCAGATTAGGACCGGTCACCGTTATCGGGAGCGCGAATCAAACTCAACATCCGTACCGAGGATATACAAGGCAAACTTGGGGTTAACAGACTCGCGTTTATACCAGTACAGTAGAGTCCAACAGATTACCTTACAAGTTCAGATGGTGCATACTCGTTGTTTCGCCTCAGTGCTGCTGGCCCAGTCCAACGTTGTTCTCCAGGTCTTGGGGAGGAAACTTGGCAGCATCATCGGCGTCGGCTGCGTTTCTGCCCCGGTTAGGTAACTCCAGAAGTATAGGGGGACCCTGGTCTTCACTAAACATTGGTTATGTGAACAAGTCGACAGCAAGACTAACGGTTGGCACAACCCCTGCAACAGGCTCAGAGTCCAGGATTGAGAACGTGACTGGAGTGTTCTCCATGGCTCGTCGAATATGCGCGCGGGAGTTCAGACTGGAACACGAACGCTCAGGAATGAGGAAGTGGGTCGAATTCTGCCAGAGTACTCACGAACTAAGCAGCGAGAGTGAAAATACTAGTTTGAGTCAGAGGTATCCTATTGCTTGGCGCAGTGACTCACGTTTGGGAAGTATCGCGAAAGGCACGGCCCAGATTTCTACATCGTTGGAAGACATCTGAGCGAGTAATCACAGAGTAGAGCAGCTGTCCCACCAGTTCTGGGCGAAAAAACAAGCTGGACTCCGGATGGTAAGAGACATCGGTCTACAGAGCCGGAAAGATCAAAGCTTACCAGGAGGACAACCAGTATCGAACATATGCTAGGGAGCAATCAGTTTAATCTGGACCGGGACAGTTCGCTGCCACCAGACCTTATGAGAAGACCCGTCTCTGTACCTGTTTTTAGCAGAGGCAACGGGAAAGAGGCGCCGCTTATACTCACGTATACTCCATAGCATCAGTTTATCAATGACTTTCTTGGTCCTAAGTCGACAAGAAGGTAGTTCACCATGAGGATGTTGCTCTACGCGGAGACGAGTCCCTATGAATTGCACACCTCCGGATTTGCGCTCTCCTGGATCGGAGCACAACGCAGAGAGTGACCGTGTTGAAGACTTCTACCACAGCAACAGCAGCAAAAGCGGGCATCACAACTAGTACAGGGTTCTGAAGCACTCCTGCATCTGTCTGAGGTCCGAGAAGGATGAAAATGATAAGCAACCGCGCTAGCTTCACGCTTGCGCGTACGCAGCCGAGCACTGCGATTACGAGGCGGCGGGATAGCATATACACTCTGTGAGAAAAAAACAGCTTTGACGGCGTGCTATCTCAATCAACCCGGCTCGCAAGCGAGAGAGAAGCTGACCTGTACAAGGGAAGACGACAATAGTTCCATGCTGAACACGGTGACCAGGGCTCCCAGCTCCGGCGCACCAGTGCGAGCCAAAGTATCCCCAGGATGGACAATGCTAACCCCATATAAGTAAATCCACATGGAAATGGCGTGGACAACATCTATGATTCTGGATTTCATTGTGAGAATCAGCGATTCCACATTTCAGACCGTACACAATAGACGCCGTCTGCGAGGTAATTAGTGGAGGATAGGGCACAACGCATGTGGTGCACTCACAAAGAGGCGAAGTCGGAAGCTATCTTTTGGGACGCCTTGTTCCGTCTGTGATTTATAGTAGTCATAGGACTGAGGCAGGACGACACCGAACAAGCACGAAGCGAGAAAACACCCAATCTCAACAGCACCTTGGGTGGCCGTGTCAGCGACGGACATGGGGAAAGGTGAGGACGCTGTCGAGTACGCCCCATCCTTAAGTCGCTCGGCGTGGGTGTCTATCTATTGAACCCCAACAGACTGCATCAGAGACCATGATGAGCATGTCAATCCAAAGGACATGAACACTGCGGAATCGTGATGTCTAAGAGACGCGTATACAGAACCTTGGTTCTTCCGAACGAGATGGTAGGCACAGGCAGTGATACTACTATCTCCAGGGAGTCAAGCTTGAGTATTTCACCGTGCAATAAGTGGCAGGAGACTAAGACCAGCGTTGGATGCAAAGTGGTCTAGGCTGGCAACTACTTCAGATAAACACCGGCCACCATAGGCAGGAGAGGATTGCTCGCCTATCAACTGGATATTGAGGAGACGCCATTTAAAAGTCTAAGGCAGGAGTTATCGGGAGTGTGAACTCGACATATATACAGGAAGCAACCCAAGCCAGGGCCAGGACTGCATGTAGAGACCTGTTTGTGATTACCAGTAACATGTCAATACTGGTTGGACTTAGACTTGTACCGGATTACCTTTGTCCAAGCCTGCTGCGAGACACGTACCTCCACGTCACGACACAAGGCTCAGCAACTATAGCATGACGTCTATTGCGCGTCTTCAGACTGCAAGTCCATCCTCGTCGTCTTCCTTTGGATCGGCATCGTAACAGACACTAAGCCTCCGTGGTCTGACTTGAAGTCGTCGACATCGTCCAGGACAAAGAAGCTCGGTGGATCTAAGCGAACATGTCTCGCGTGGCGCTGGCAAGCATCCCTGCCTTGACCTTCTACAAGGACGAGCTCACCGCAGCCCGACGAGGCGACCCTATTCCGCAATTGACATGCATAGGCAAGGCTTGCCGATTTTACACGCCCGATGTTGTGAGATGTACGAACTCGGGCGGCAGCGGTACGGACGTGGATTGGAAAGTAAGTGCAGCCTTAAGCTTTGCAAGCTCGTCCGGGACCGTCTTTTGCTGATTACTATGGCAGTGTGAAGCGGAGTTGCCGGAAGCCCTGCGTTTTGGGAGAGTGCAAGTGTCCTGTGAAGGATGGTCGGGGCCGGGTGACCCGTATGTCCTCAAAGGTATGTGCATAGTCCTGCAATGCTCAACCCCTAGTAATCAACATCCAATCTTGCACTAGAATCATGCGGATTGGAATACCGCCTAGTCGAGGTTCCGGGAGCCCTTCGCAGCGATAGAGATGGAACTCGCATGCCCTCCCGACTGGCGCAATCATTTAGCGGTGCGCATATATCTCGCCATGGTGGTCTCCGGCATAGTACTCAACATCCCATCCAGCTGATAACATCGCGAGCACTGTCTTCATGATTCTGTGGCTCGCATTCCTTGTCCTGATACTGTACAACATACTCAAAAACTGTCTACGCCGACCCGGCACCACGGGACCATCCACCCCTAGGGCTCCAGGCTGGGGCGGAGGCTGGGGTGGTGGAGGCACCAACTCCTGGTTCAACTCCGGCCCTCACGACCCTTCAGATCCCCCTCCACCCTACAGCAAGTCGCCCCAACAGCCTTCCTCCGCAGACTCCACCTGGGGTGGTTACAGACCTGGATTCTGGACGGGGGCAGCCCTCGGTGCCCTTGGGACAGGATTGTACAACAGGATGCGAGATCCTGGCGACCGCCCACGCGCTCAGGCGTACGACTGGGAGAGGGAGAGGACAGCTCCACCGGGCGTCTTTGGAGGGTCGAGGTATAGTACCCCTGGGTTCGCTGGTGTGCGACGCCCGAATTCCAATTATGATGATCGCGGCGAGGGATCATCCTCCGGCTTAGGGTCTATGAGGCGTAGTACGGGCTATGGCGGTTCCTCAGTGCGATGAGAGATACCCCGAATCTTCCTATCTCTGACATATCTGGGTTTTGCGGATTGTACCCTGTATGAGAAGGAACGCATATTGAATTATAAATATACGAGTACTGTCTTGTCTATAGTACAAAGTTAAAGCCATTACGCTAGTGTACAGTGAAACGCTGACTACCAACAACCCGATACAATAACCAAGCTAATAATGTGCATACCGTGATGTCTACATTCTAATGCGACTCGATAGATAGCCACCTTCTCGTCTAATTGAGCGACCGAATTTACGGCGAGCCAGAGCTCGACGAAGCCACAGGAGCGGGTCGTCGCGAGATATCCTTGCTGACCCTCGATCTACCCCGTTCAATGTCCGCGTCGAGCTGCGCCCTCTTGGCTTTCCGCTTCGCCTTGAGGTCAGCAGCAGGACGGACCATAAATATCATGAGCAGAGACACCAGCAAGATCGCTCCCGCCGACGTAAAGATTGCCTTCGGATAATCCGCGACAGTGCCGCCGTAGATCGCAGCAAAGAGCATTGGCTGAGGTCAAGGAAATCCGCTGAGTCGACATGTCTCCAAGTACGCAAAGAGTGATGCTCACCCCGAGAATCATCTGCCCAATAGCCTGCAAGCTCGCAATGGCACCGAACAGATGCCCACTTCCGGCTTTATCCACCTCCGGCTGGCCATGGGCCTGAATCTGCATAATACACAGCGCGAGGCTCTGCCCTGAGGGTACCACCCCGCTCGCGAAGCTGCTCAAGCTCGTAAAGCCCACGAACATCGCCTGGGACGCGAAGCTGTCGTCGATGGGGCCCATGGACACCAGCACCTGCGAAAGCATGTCCATGGCGAGAGAGAATCGGACGAGGACCATGTCGAAGTGCGCCTCGTGGGACAGTGCGGACAGTGTTGGCTTGTCTGATTTCTTGACAGCCACCGGGACGGTAGCAACAGTACCCGTGCTAGACGCCTTGGCTGGTTTGGGCTTGGGCTTGAACATGGCAATAATGACTACGGCAACGCCCTGTGAATCCACAGCAGAGGCCCGCATAATACTGCTTACCTGGCATGATTAACAGCAGATTGACAGCGCGGGCACCACCAGCAAAAGAGATGTAGTAGCTCAGCTGCTCAGCGCCCCAGCCGTAAACATGTCCAGCATAGAGATACTTGATCTGCCAAATACCCTGCAGACATCATTAGTCGAGAAACAGTATAACTCAGACAGCCAGAACTTACAGTAGACAGGAAATACCCAAACAACGCGCAGGCCAAGAATGTAAGATCCCAGTTAGTCCTCGTCTTCCCTCCAGGCAGCTCCGACTTCTTGGGCAAGAAAATCGCCAGCGGCTTCAAAAAGTCCCTGAAGAACCCGATCATGCCGCCCGACTTGCCCGCAGCGACGTCCGTCGCCTTCTTCGCCGCATTCTTCTCCCGCGCCGCGCGCTTCTTCTCCTCGCTCAGGCTCTCCGGGAACACGAACGCCACGAGCAGCAGGTTCACCGCGTTGCAGCAGATCGCGACCCAGAACACGTTGGTCACCGAGGGTATGGGGTGCGCGGTGTCCGAGTTGAAGAGCGAGCTGAAGAGCGGGTGCCGGATGAGGAAGGCGCCGATCGCGGGACCTGCGGCGAAGCCGAGGTAGAACATGCCGGTGAAGCGGGAGAAGATGTGCGAGCGCGAGCCGTCGGAGGTGCAGTCGGAGACGTACGCGGTGGTCGCGCCTTGAAGAGTGGACCAGCCACCGAGTAGTCCTTCGATGAAAGGGGCGACGATCAGCAGTTTGTGCCCGTGACCGGAGAAGGGGGTGTGGGGCGTGGATACAAGGATGAATGTGAGATCACTGGAACGAAAGGTCAAGTTTAGGGGGTCAATGGAGGGAGATGAGGTGCCTTGCGTACGTGAGGAATAGACCGAGCGTCGCAATGGCGAGAACACGAGTACGGCCGTGCTGCTCGCCGAAGTGACCCCACCACCCCGTCGTAAGGGCGGACAGGGTGCCCATGATAACGGTCATCATACTCTGCAGTCGTGCCGCCCGGCTCTGCACGGCGGGATCCGAGAGACATCGTTTCGAAGGTAGATTCCTCGGGTCCTCCTCCTCGTCTTCGCTGCTCCGATTGAATGTAACGATTGCCTGCGAGCCCGAACCTGCGGCGTGCGGGCCGTAGGAAGCGGATAGATGGTCCAAAGATAGTGGGTCTAGATGGGGACCTGCGGGGTCTAGATATAGGTAAGATAGAGGAGAGGACGATGGATGTGAGAGGTTGTGGGCGGGTCGCACAGAGTGCAGACCCAGCAAGGAATTAGATTCGGTGTGGTTGTAATGATGGTGGTAGAGAGCGGAACACGATAGTTGCGTGAATACTTGTACACGAGGGGCGAGGGTCATTCCACGCTGTTGTAGCATGTTGGGCTTAACGAGGCTCGCAGGACACGGAAGGCGGTACTTACGACAAGGGATGCAACGACGACGAAAGGAACTAGCCTATGGACGCGATGTCAGAATCCATTCGCACGAGCAAAAACAACGAGGATAAGCGCGAAGAGGCGTTTGGCAGCTCAGGATCTTCACGGAACCGTGGCCCTCGGCCAAGACAGTACTCACCACAGCGGCCTGGCACGGTAGAAAGGCTTCTTCCTCTTCAACTGACCGCCCAGCAAAGGCTCTGTCTCCGAGCCTGAGCTCAGCACATCGGAAGGCATCCTAGCTTGGATGCTCGGACGACCGGATTGACTAGGTCTAGGAGTCAGCGTCGGGATGGGAGACGGCGATGGCGAGAACGCGGCGAGGTCGGACGAGATGATGGGGTCGGCGACGACGTCTACTGAGGGCTCGCGCGACATGGCTGCTGCGGTCGGCGTCGATGGTGGGGAAGAACAAGAGCGGGCACGGCGGGTGCCTGTGGGCCGAGGGGCATAACAATATTAATGTTATCAAGCATTGCGTATCAGGCGCAGTTGCGGGGAGGACTCCGTCATGGCGGGTGGCTAGGCCGCCCGGCATCCACAACTCGCCGTCGGCTCCTAATCAACGACACTCTCAGCGTATACCCTTAGAGCGCGCTTTGCGCTCTCTAACCAGGTTACGAGCTACGGGTATTGCGGCGTACTGTACGCTTGGACTCGTGAATATTTGATGCAATTACACACCGTGAAACCTGCACTGCGCTCAGGTCCAACTCTTTCATTACACCTGCATCTAACTCAGAGACAATCTTGTGATTATTGCTAGGCGATGATAGCAGATGATAGCACACCGTGCTATGGTTTGCAAAGTTTCGGCCATGAATTATACCAAAGACAGTCATAGCAACGAGAACATTTGATATGCGCACTCCGAGTCAGTTTGTGGTGAGCGCTCGCGCAACTCTGGCTAGCTGCAATCTAGTATCCCATCTGCTGCGATCTGAACCACCTCCCTATAGACAGGATTGCTCGCCTATCTACTGGATATGGAGGTGGCTTGTACCTAGCCTATATTCCACCATGCCGCCTTCCCAACCCGCGAAGGGTTTCAGACAAGGCCTAGTTCCAAAAGAGTTCAACTCATGCACTGTAGACTTGGAGAATAACACCATGCCAGCATTCTGGGTGGGATTGGCTTCCAATTTACACTGTGTTCTGACTTCAGGTTCATTGCCCAGCATATCATGCAACTGCCCAGGTCATCCACAATATTAATAGGGAAAAAGAAACAGATCACCCTGCCACTGCCTCCCTGGCCATGCTTCTATCAACCACACTGCTGCTGATGCTTGTTCTCTGGCTGCCAGGTGGAAGAGGAGAACAAAGTGTATAATGTTCAGGCAGGCCTTTACTTCATCTTCACGTAGTCCCCAAGGGTGGTGGTAATACTCAGATATGACAAACAGAAGTCTCAGATCATTCAGAAAAGGCTCCTGGAGTTGATATTGCAGCGTCTAACCACCACGGAAGACTGCCGCAGCTGCCAGCACGAAGACTCGGAATGTGCCTGAGTGGGTGGATCTCCAGCAATCAAAGAATATAACAGCCAGTGAAGGGCTCCTGACTCGTAAATAGGATCTATGCTCCCTGTTGTGACCTGTGCTTCCAAAGCATAGAGGATCATGCACTGTACACCAGGACTGCAGATTTTGCAAACAGCAGTTGGAGGGTCTCTGCATGTATAGCAGATCCCAGTGACGATGCAACGTCCGCAAGCGTCATAACTGCCTCCTTGAGCATCATAACTGCCTCCTCGAGCCTCTTACTGGTTTGAGCTCCTCTGGTGCCTATTATGCCGTGTTCCTAGCATTGGTGACCAAAAGAAGGAAAACCTTGAGGTGGGGCAGTTGGGTTTGAAATATTGTCCAGGCTGTCACAGGACAGCTAGAAGAGACTGTAGAGCTGTGGTGATGAACTGCCTCTTTCTTTCCTCTTCTTTCACTAACCGTTTGAGCATGGTGATGTGATATCCACATGTGAACACAGCTAAGGAATACGCCACCAAGATAAGGACAGGATCTGGATTTTGAAAGCCTGCTTGTTGGAATTTTGGGGTTATTGGTCGAGCTTGTGAGCTTGCGCGTGATAGGATGGGGCCGCCATAGGCTTTGACGTATCCCTTTGGACAAAAGACCCAGAACCATGCTAGTGTGAGCGAGTTGATGTTATCATGTTCACATGTGATCATATGATGTGCACATGTTTGCACACCTGTCCAGTTGTGCATGCATGCACCCTGGTGCAAACAGATGTACTTGAGTGTCATGACATTACTCAGGCATATGTCCAAAAATTGACCTTTAAGCACATGAGTGAATCCCTTCACTAGGCAGCACACATCTCCATTCAATCTCACCAGATTTGACATACACCCACTTTGCACAGCCATTGCACAGCCACATTGCCAAAGAGGTTCTTCCGATTGAGTGCAATATCATGCAGTTTCCTGTGATCCCACTCATGTGATCGCAATCTTTCAGGCTCCTATTCAACACTTGGGTCTCATAGTAGACCAGTTCTGATTGCCCCATGGGTTCCAGGTCTCCACTGCCACTGGCCTCCACTGCCTGCTGCATTCAACTCCCCCTTCCTTCACCATACTACTGTATGCCCCCCCTTCTCCCCGTAAGGATCTTTGCTAACCTCTAATGTAGTGCAAACCAATTTCCTACTTACTCTCATACCTCACACCACTTTTCTGTACTATATACCAATGTCTAAATCCAAACCACATTTCCCACCCCCCCTCCATGCCTGTCTGTCTTCTAGCAACCTCCTTACCTGTCACCATGAATGTGGTTCAAAATTTCTGCACTGCTTACCAGCTGCTCTTGCCAATTATGTCTGACTCACTATACTCACCCAAATAGGCGATTGCCAAAGACTGTGTGTACAAGGTGATGGGAGGGGTTTCATACTCAAAATGGATTGTCACATGAGTCCAAGCAGCTGAACACCTTGACACTGATGAATCTTTGTGAGCCTGCATGAGGTTTATGGATTTGATATTCATTCCTGGACCGTAGTATACATCAGAAGTAGGATATAATGACATTATTATCCTACATGAATCATCCTGAATGGTTAAAGAACTGCTTGAATATGAGGGCAAAATAATGGACCATAATGTTCACTAATTAGATTGGGGACAAACCTGAACCATATAATTATACATGATGGGATAATGGATATAATATGCCATGATCATGGGATATTATATGTGATCATGTATAATTTACTATGGAGGGTTTTCCTGATGGAGGTGCTTAGGTCCTGCCAACAAGGAATGAGGTGAGGGGCATTCACTGACAGCCCATAGGTCACTTTGTGTAGCAACACACAAGGGTCTGTGAGTTGGAGCACCTGCCTGATCCCCATGCTGCTTCTGAGAACGTCTGCCCCATGAGATGAACCCAAGCAGTGCCTTGACCAACCAGCCCATAGGCCGCTGTGTGTAGCATCTCATAAGGGTCAACCAGCCCAAGCATCTGGGTCAAGCTCAGCCTGAAGCTGCGCAGTCCCAAAGGAAGTGTGAGGGAGGAATGTGAGCTTACCTGCCATTGCTCAAGAGGGGCCTTGAGGGTTTGTGGGTGGTTGGGAAAGGCAGGGAGGTTTTGAGTCGCACAAGGAATGGGGCATTACTCACCACCACACATGATAATGCTGATGAGTGGAGTTTGAATATGAGCTGTGATAGGAAGGACCACGTGGCAGGTGGCAAGTCCTCGCATCGTTGTATAATGGGGCAGTGGGGATAGTGATTGCATTTGCATTATGAAAAAAATGGGATGTGTGGCTGGGAATGTGGTCCTTGTAATGTGAAATGATTATATACTCTAGGGAAAGCAATTTATAGACCATTTGTTCCCGCAGACGTCAGGATTTGCCAGCCTACAGTTCAACCTCTGCTCATTAGCATGGCTGACCTCTCAGTTGAGCTATGGATGCAAAAAAAATCTTGAAGCTTATTATGAGGTGTTGGATGTATATAGACTGCTACTTAATAAGTTAAGCTACAATTTGTCTCCTGGGTTCAGGTGTTGTGAGCTTGACCCAAAATCAGCCCCCTATGGGAATCACTTCGACCATCCCCTCAACTCTGTGTTGGTGCTAAAGCAATTGAAAAGCTAATAGATAGTGATACAGCTGTACAGTACAGTATATGCTATTTGTGTAACCATGACACTTGGCACTTGGAATTTGTATGGTGGGACCGAAAAGGCGGGCACAACTTGGGGTAGCTATGCTCAAGCTTCAGCTTCAAAGCCCAGTCTTTGAGCAGGGAAATTCTGACATTTCAAGGCAAAACATCGTGGATTTCACACATAGATGTCCCATACCATCTATACTCTAATGCAGTGCAATTCTTTACAATAAATTCACTACATTACGCACTGGTCCAGCCACAGTAACCACATTTGGGTTGAGCCACATGGCTCCTCCCTTTTTCTTTTTCTTTTTCTTTTTAGTCATGCAGTGTTATCATTAGCGAGCCCGAGGAATGGCTCTCCCACAAAAGCACTTTGATTGGTCACATGACTATATCACCTGACTGTGGCAGATTAGATGCAGCAGCATGATATTCATTGCTATTTTAGGTAGTTCACAGGCCCATGTCACTGTTATCGCAGAGTAGCACACCCCAGCATCAGCAGGCCAAGTCGAAGCGTCAAGAAGTGTAGATGTGATTGGGTGAAGCTAGTGCAGATGCGTGCATGTGAGTGAAATCATGGGGCCACTTGTTTGCATGTGTTTGCGCATGTGCACACATGAAATCAAGTGCTGGTGGATGCATTCATCAAATCACAAATGTGACTACGTGCACGTTCATGAATACATAAAAAATGGTATTTTGTCCAATACTGTCGGTCATAATAGGTGGATGTAGCAGGTGGATGTTTATGTGGAACTCATATATAGTCACTGTATCTGCTCTTTGTATGGTATGCAATTGCCCTTTGGGCAACCGACCACCTGGGGCAAGCGCGCTCAATCTACGTTTGCCAGGATTCTTTCAACACTGCTGTGTCGTTGTGCTCAGGGCAAAATATGGCAAGCAGAAGGGGGATAATGAGATGGCCCCATTTACCCCAGCTCTCATCAGCTAACCCATCTGTGGTCATCCCAGCCCTTTCAGCATGAGAATTCATCGCCAAAAGTCTCTATGACCATCTGGAGGGTGAACGGTGATAGCGCTGATATGCACTGACACACAACAACCACCAAAGAACATGGGAAAATAACCCAACACACCCAGCAGTATGGGTGGAGGCAGTCTGAGACCACTGAAGGGTATAAAGTAGTTCGAGGGCAAAAGGAGGAATAAGGTGATGTAGGGTAGTCCACAGGAAGACCTAGAAAAATAAAACAAAGCCTTGACGCCTGAAACAAACATGAATCAAAGCTCTGGCATATTTATCTCCAAAGAATCAAAAATAAACAAAGGTCGCAAGCACCGACACCTAGCGTAGGATTGTGCTCACAGGGACAGAAATTGCTAGAGAGACTTGGTTGATTTTATTTTGCTATGTAATACTCACGGGAGCTGATATTTTGATGGCAGAGATAAATTGATCGATGAGTCAGGCCTATTGGCAAAGCTAGGATCTGTCATAAATCACTAAGTTCAACACTTCCAAACTTTGAGGGTCGCTAAGATGGTAACTCTGATACGCTGAGATGGTGAGGATCAAACTTGTTTTTACATTTTATACTACAGGAATGACTTTGCAACCATCTGCAAATACCCGCTGCTACCAACCCAATTGCTCAGCACTCGCCCACCACTATACCATGTACCATATGACTCCCTTGTCCCTCCATAGGCTCATCCTAGGCCCTAGAGGTTGTCCTGACGCATTGGTACCTGTCCTGAGCTGTCCTGTCACACTGCGCGACATGCCGGTGATATGCACAGACACACAACAATCACCAAGGACCAAAGGAAATAAACCTAAACCCCGTGATATGGGTGAAGGCGGTCCGAGACAACTGAAGGGTATTTAATAGTTCGAGGGGGAAAGGAGGAGTAAGACGCCGTAGGGTAGTCCATAGGAAGACCTAGAAAAATAAAACAAAACTTTGACGCCTGAAACAAACACTAATGGACGCTCCGGAGTATTTATCTCCGAAACGGCGCAAGCAAAGTCGCAAACCACGGAACCGAGTGTAGGTTCGGGCCCACGGGAGTAGAAAACGCTAAGAGGACTTGTTTAATTTTATTCCGCTATGTGAGACTCACCGGTGATAAGCCTCAGGATTGTCTGACCCCCGAAAACGCGGACTCAGCGCATCGTACAAGCCCTCCGGAGCTTATTCGACACAGCGCTCACATGCCTCTAGGCTTCTATGGGATCTAAAGAATTGCTCTATTTAGCTCCGGACTTCCTAGCATCCTTGAGGTGTACACGGACCCATTCCACGATTTATCTCCGCAAACAGGAGCTCCGGAGCGACTTAACCAATGCAACGTCTAGATGAATTAGCTCCGGGGCCCGCGGGAACTTCTATCGAGGGGCGTCGTCCTCATGCCCACCCTCCAGCACTCACTCCCCCTCATTTCCGTCAAGATACCGAAGGTGCGGACGTATACGAGTCACCATGAGGTCAGCATCAGTCAGCAAGCGGCCGGAGGTAATTAGCACGTGACCGGCGCGTCGCACAGAGTGATGGGACCGCTTGGATCAGGTGGCAGAGCGTCAAGGCGACTTCTAGGGGTTGGGACGAGCAAGTAGGAGTGCAAGGGAGTCGTATGGTGCATGGTATAGCGGCGGCAAGTGCTGAGCAATCCTGTGGGTAGCGGCGGTTATTTGTTATTTATCTCCGGACGGTCGCAAAGCCATTCCTGTAGTATAAATTGTACAAAGTAGCGTACAGAAAAACAAGTTTCGACTTCACCATCTCAGAGAATTAGCATTACGATCTCAGCGACCCGAGAAGTTTGAAAGCGTCGAACTTAGCGAATTATAACCGATCCTAGCTTTGCCAATAGGCCTGACTCGTCGAGTGAATTATCTCCGCCATCGATTCAATTAGCTCCGGTGAGTCTCACATAGCGGAATAAAATTAAACAAGTCCTTTTAGTGTTTT